ACTCATCACAATGTAACTGATAGGATGGCTATTGAGGTAATTTTGGGTGGGCAGAGGTCAAGGACAAACAGCCACCTGCTTATAAGCGGCACTGATTAAAGTGTCATTGGAGGTTGCTGGTTGATCGAATGTCAAGTGGGTGTGCAAATCAGGGATTTTTTTTTAAGTTTTACACATCTTAGTTAGGTAGGGGAGAGAGGTCATATTGCGCCATGTTCTCAAATGCGCCACACCTTCCTCCTGCCCAAAATTCGATTCGAACGAATATTCGAATGTGTGCATTTACTTCACCACCAATAACTCGCTCTTATTCCGGTCCACGGGGGCAGGTGAGGTGTCTCAGCTTTCTCGCAGACCATTTTTTGTGATTTCCTCTATTTTCTTACGCGAAACAGTCTATTTCGACCTTTGCTAGTGTCATGGTTTATCTTAGAGATAGTGATTCAACTAATAATCATTGTTAATTGCTCGTTTAATGTTAGTTTTGAAAGCTTATCAGCACCGTGGCTTCGCTATCGTCGCCATATTTGAAGCTCATGAAAAATGTGTTCCATTCGTAATTGCGCCCACCCTATTTGCGCCCTATTCTTCAACCCAGAGAAACAGCATCTGGTGGTTGGGACACATTTCATTGAACACTTTGATTATTAGAGCGCTCACCTTACCATTACCTTAGCCTTCACAGCATAAATGGTTAATGGGCTGACACGTTCAAATAGGCTACTTAGTTAGCCCGCGCCCCGTAGGGGGGGGGGGGCCGAAACGGCCCCCCCTGTCCTTTTCGGTCGATATCTCCTAAACCGCTTCAGATATCGCCACCAAACTTTCAGGACCCCTCCGGACATCAATTTTACACATTGTGACCAAAAACTTTTTCCAAAGGCTATGATAGGTTGGCCACAAATGACGTCAGAATGACGTCATGTTCTGTCATTTTCGACCGAATAAAGACCTTCGCGAGAAGACCTGTCAGGCCTACAGCTTTGAAGATACAGAAAAATGATCAAGACATAAAACGTGTAGAATTGACAGGGCTACAAAACGGCCATCTCGGATTTTTGAAATTTTTGAGTTTTGAACCCCAAAAATAAAAAAAAAACATTTTTTTTTTGATATATTAGCCAAAAAATCCAAAAAGTTTTTTGAGTTAAAAAAAAACGGATTATATGTGATAGTACCTACCGTCTTCTATCTACATACCGAATTTCAGATCGATACCTCGTTTTTTGGCCAAGTTATAGCGAAAAACTGTTCAAAATTGATGACGTCAAATTTTCAAACTCAATTTTTGGCAGTTCTAGACCTCGTAGAGCAAAACAAAGACAACCATTAGACTCCCCGTGACGAGCTGCATCGAATAGATACCCATTTTATGCAAAAATATCAACTTTGAAATTTGACCTTATTTGACCTGACCTTGACCTGACCTTCACCAAAACGTGACCTAGGCTGGCCCCAAAGGCTGCCTAACCCACATAATCGCATTTGTCATGTAAAATGGACCATAAAACATGTATCACACGACACTTTCATATTGTGACCCCGGTGACCTGACCTCGCTGTGACCTGACCTGGTATCAGTGACCTCAGATAGCAAAGTATGTGTTTGACGAACAATGTACCATCGATGGTTTTCAATAAATTACCAATTAACTCGATTTCACAACACATTTCTTGAAATGCCTGTGAACGGTGAAAATCTGACCTTTGACCTGACCTGTGACGTCATCGGTTTGACCTAGGTGAATGAAATTTGGTCACAAGGTAGTTCCCGGGTGGGGCTATCGAACGCCGTTTGAATTTTGAAAATCGGCCGGTAACTTTCCGAGATCTTAGGGGGGGGGGCCGAAACGCCCCCCCCCCCCTACGGGTGGTAGGGTCCGCCGGTAGCCCTACGGGGCGCGGGTTAGGTGGCAAACCGTTGTTTTTAATAGGGCGCTTTTACATGAGAGGCATGGACGCTTTTTGATGGGGGAGTCCGTAAATGCGCCCTTTGCAGATGTGCCGGAAAGCTTTTCTCTTGTTAATTTTTCTGGGTGTGATACAAATTGGGAGTTGTTATTTGATGCCAATATAACTGAGGTACAATTTGAGATATCATCAAACATGACAGCTGGTCAACTTTAGCCGCAATAGGCCGATATCCTTGGGTGGGACTAAATGCTTACTTCGAAATCTAAGCTACGTTGCGGCATTGGCGGTTATGTGCGGCGTGTATGCCGCATGATTAGTAAGCGGCGACCACTAAATTAAAGACTCAAACGCTCCGACCGGTTCTCAATGAATAACACTGCATACCAAAAATGCCAACCGCTCTCGTCAAAGATATTCAGCTTTAAATAACTAGGTTATCTACATCATCATTTTGAACCAAATTAATACTTTCAACTTAACTCACTCATTCCTTCCCTTGTTGTCTCCAAACAGTCTTTCGATTGTCTGGAAATCGTATGCTAAATCCCGTACATGTATGCGACTGGTGCATATAAAGGCCGATAAAAGAATTTGAATAGGCTCTGGCATGCGATTTCCTGGCTACCCAAAAAAGTCTGTTTCAGTCTTGCTATCAAAACATGACCTCGCCCGCACAGGGGGGGGGGGGGGGGGTTGATGCAACCCCCCTAAGGTTTTTCGCGAATAACTCGCTTAAAAAGCGGCTGATCTCGACGAAACTTTCAGTACCCTCGCATTGATCAATTTAACACCCATCCTGAAAATTTCATGACCCTGACCCAAATGACCTTTGACCTGTGACCTACTTTTCGAGACCATGTTTGGCCGGAACCGCGATTCAGCGTATGTCGGCTCGCATTAGCAGCGCGTTTGCAGTCTTTTCGTGGTTTCAAGCGTTCAAACATGTGATATGATGTTGCCCCCATGCATTAGGGTGGGTGTCAAGGTAACCTGAAGGTCAGGTCAGGTCATTGACCTTTGGTGACCTCGGTTCACTTTTTCGAGTTTGACATGTTTCTAGGTCAGTTTTTTCGAGCTGAATTCGAATTAAGCAACCACATGAACGTTTACAAAGTAGTTTTGGTGCCTTCGTAACATGTTACGAGGCTGTCAGAGGCGGTTGACACCTACTACAAATACCTGGCAGGACCTCTACTGGTTGACCTGACCTGACCTAACCCGACCTGGCCTAAATGAATGAAGACATCATCTGTGATCAAAACTAGCATGATATTCGTGATCAGCACCCCGAAAAACCCCATAGCAGCCACACTACGACGTTCTAACAGGTCCCAATTTTCCCGCCTTTTGGGTCATTGACCTGACCTGGAAGGTCAACCGATGACCTAGGACCTTAAAATTGGGTATCATCGGCTTTCTCTCGTCACGGGCAACACGCTCGTTTTTTCCGCGAAGCTCTAGCTTGATCAGGAGCGAAACGGCAAGGGGTTATACCTTATACGTTCGCGGCTGAGTATTAATTTGGTTCAAAACAATGATGTAGATAAGTTAGTTATTTAAATCTAAATATCCTATGACGAGAGCGATGGACATTTTTGGTATGCAGTGTTATCCATTGAAAACAGGTCAAAGCTATGGAATTTTTAATTTAGTGGTCGCCGCTTACTAATCATGCGGCATACACGCCGCACATAACCGCCAATGCCGCAACGCAGCTTAGATTTCGAAGTAAGCATTTAGTCTCACCCATATCCTTAAGGTGGCGCAATATGACCTCTCTCCCCTACAAGCTACATGACAGCATTGCTACGATATTTTAGCACTGCATGGATGTCGTCAGTTCTGTGATCCAAACGGATAGTGGAAATGTTTTATTTTATCATTTTATTACTTGATAAGTAAGTATGCACCTACCTATGCCTAGCAATAACGCCATATTCACCGCTCCTATGCCAACGTGCTAACTAACTGATTACAACATAACACCGTATAGACCGCTCCTATCAACTGTTAAGATGCATAAATAACTAATAAAGTAGTGTCCAAGAAAAAGGACGCTCATTATCAACCTGCACCCCCCCCCCCCCGGCATTCCAACCCAACCTCTAAAACCTTTTGTTATGGTGGGTTAGCCAATAGATTCACCAGCCAATGAGGCTGCCAGCACCCGAATATGCATGGGTGGGTGGGGTGCTCCAAGCATTATTCTCCGTCGGTCATTAGCACTATCATAATGGCCTTAATGGGCCCCCATTAAAGGGACCCTCCCACCTTAACATTAGATTTGAGTTGAGATAGCCAAAATGGGGTCCCTGGCTCACAATTACCGGTTTCGGCACTCACAACATCGAGAAATGCCTTAAATCGGATATATTGAATTTCAAAATTGCAGCATTTTGATTCAGAGGGGCTAATGCTTAGGAATACCCCTCTGAATGTGTGACGTCAGCGCAAATATCTAACGATTTTTAAATGTTTGACTAAAACGTTTTGTAGCACGCGGTGGTATATGCTATTTGCGCGCAACAACTGCCGCAAACGCCGCACTTCTAAAATAAAGTCGCTAGAAACAGCGGAGATCCCAAAAAAGTAAACAAAAGTAAAAGTCTAATATTTTGAAAACCGGTGAATATTTTTCGGTGAAATTTGGTAGATATTCGTTTTCGCTCTTTCTGAACCGAGCGACATCACTTTCATGCCAATTCATAAACTTTTTTGAAGGTGGGAGGGTCCCTTTAAGTGTCGGCGATTGTTGATTGTATTACGTATTCCGGGGAATGTGGACCCTGCATGCCACCGGGTTACTCTCCTGCGCCGCGTTGAGGTCTCCGTCCGGCGACTGAAGATGCAGCTGCGTTGGCGAAAGGGGGAGGGACGGGTTGAAGGTAGAGACAGGAGGATAAGGTTCAGGGAGTATCTGGGCAGATCAAGGGATGGTGAAAAGGCAAACATAGTATAATGTAGGATATGGTTTGTAAGGGCCCATGTAAATTAAACCCAGTCTCATCTACATATTCCCTTTACTCGTAGTTTGTACTTATAGGTCGTATTCCGGTGCACCTAGCCGTTGGACAATACACTGTTATGTTCGTGATTCACGGTTCGAGTGAGAGAGAGCTTAAGAGAAACGCGATTTATTTACTGCCGGTGCGAATGGGCCGAGAGAGTCCTCCAAAAACTAAACAAGTATGGCGAGCGCCACGCCTAGTCGCCCGCGCCAGTCATGCCGCTTGGCGCGCACGATCAGCTGAGCGTCGGCAGGGGCGCTCCCAGGCACACAGAGGTGGGGCCGCAGAGGCGGTCCAAGTACACACCCCCTATACCCGAACACAACATCCCCCCTCGAGAGCGTGGGCGGCCCGCCCGCAGCGGCAGCAGCGCGCGCCGGCCGCGCCCGCGGAACGCCCGCCAGGTTGGGCCGCGGGGCGCGCCTGGGGGCGGCGCACGCCGGCCGTACCCGCGGAACGCCCGCCGGGTTGGGCCGCGGGGCGCGCATCGCGCGACCTTGAACGGCGGTATGCCGACAGACGGCTCACTGACGCCGTCGGTGAGCGGAGGTCGGAGCAGGTAGCCCGGGCGTTCTCTGACGCACGGCAGATGTCCACCGTCTTCTTGAGGTCCAGCCCCGGATCCTCCAACAGACGCTTCACCGTCTCCTCGTCCCGCAGGCCACACACAATCTTGTCACGCAGGCGTGAGTCGTAACAGTGTGTGCAAAAGTCGCAAAATGCCGCGAGCTCCTTCACTTCGCACAGAAACTCCTCAAAATTCTCGCCCTGCTCCTGGACACGGGCGTAGAACGCACGGCGGTCGACCAGGACACTGCGCTGCTTACGGAGATGACTCTCCATTGCGTCTACCACCGCGGAGAGGGGAGAGTCGTCCGCTATCGTCAGTCCATAGCGCAGCACCCGGTGCCAATCTTCGTCGAGAAGACTGAGAAGGGCAGCTCTCTGGGCAGTGACGGGCAGCGCGGACGCGCCGGTCAGAAGCATGTACCCGTCCAGCTTCTCCCTCCATACAGCGAAGTCACGCAGGGATGTGGAGGACGACAGCTGAGGCGCCGGCGTTGCAGCAGCAGGCAGGCGCACGGGCGGGGCGGCAGCCGACGTCCGGGCGGCTGTCGCCGCCGAGGCATCGTCGGCAGCGACGGTAGCGGGTGGCTGTCGGTCGGCGACCAGTCGCTCCACCATCTGAGTGAGCCGCTCCTCGCGCTGCGCTGAGTCTCGCTCCCGCTGCGCCGACAGCTCCGCCTGCTGCAGGAGCAGCTGCGTCAGTTTCTCAATGTCACTCATCGTCACAGATCACGGCGCGCTATACACTAATCACTGATACACTGATACACCGATCACTGCGCGCACGCACGGAACCATCTACTGACCGCGCCATGTTATGTTCGTGATTCACGGTTCGAGTGAGAGAGAGCTTAAGAGAAACGCGATTTATTTACTGCCGGTGCGAATGGGCCGAGAGAGTCCTCCAAAAACTAAACAAGTATGGCGAGCGCCACGCCTAGTCGCCCGCGCCAGTCATGCCGCTTGGCGCGCACGATCAGCTGAGCGTCGGCAGGGGCGCTCCCAGGCACACAGAGGTGGGGCCGCAGAGGCGGTCCAAGTACACACCCCCTATACCCGAACACAACATACACAAGACCTGTCCGCTAGCTGGGTGAACCAAGCCGCCTCGATCCTGAATGCAGAGACCCAGGCTAGCGATGATCTATCGTAACGCAGACAGACTGGGAAGTTCTCGGCTTTGAAGGCCGGTCAGGTCTCGGGAATGACAGCTGACGGCTGAGGGTCACACAGACGGCTCCCACGGTGGTCTGACGGGTCAGCAGCGTATGCGGGTGGTCCCATCAGCAGGGTTCAGTCTCTGTCAGAGACTCACACTCATCGATCTAATACGGGAACGGAACGGATGAGAAATGTACATGATCTGGCAAATAAACGGAATGTGACATGTTATCTTGCGCATGCGAGCCACTGTACGTATAGGAAATAGGAATGCATCTCGTTTGGACCCGGGGCAGATGTCTGCCGAATGCTTTCGCTGTCTCGTGTCCTCACTGGCGGCGCTTGGGGCCGACGGGATAAGAAGATATTTACTGGCACGTCATTAAAGTCATTTGCTTCAGAGGAGACATAACTCGCGTGCCTTCACATTTTACATAGATTGATAAGATCACTGCTGTTGTTTGTTTTGTAATGGGTTAAAGCGGGTCGTTTTTAGCTGTTTTAGGTATATGAGGTGAATAGATTCATAAAGTATCTTAGAGTAATTTACCCAGGGGCTCCGCCACGGTTTTGGGATTGGGGGGGTCCGACCGAAAACACAAAACCTCGCTGGCGGATCCAGGGTGGGTATTTTGGGCGAATTCACCCTCCCCCTTCCCCCTGCAGCTCCCGAAGATGATGAAAAATTGACGCTTTTTCTAGAGCTCAAAGAAAACTTAATAATTGTATCGGGATAATTTTGCTTTAAACCGAAAACCAAGGCTCAATTTGCACAAGAAATCGAAAATCGGGAAGCGGAGTCCATTGGCACCGACATGGCGGCCTCTCAAATCAACGTTTTTGAGCAATGGAGGCCGCTGTTGCGCGCTCCAAGGGCGGTGTTAGCCATCAGACAGCGCATTAGGCTCTCAGTGACTGGCATGCACTTGGGAACTCAGGGACCTTCATAGGCGCTCAGATATCTATGTAGGCTCTTAGGCCAGTGCCGGGTCCTCCAAGGCCGTAGTTAAAGGAAAGCGCAGGGCTTTAGGAGTCGTTGAAGGGATTTGAAAGCCCTGCCCTCATATATATAGCAGTATGGAGTCCTTAGAGGCTGACATTCAGTCTCTGTGATCAGAGAGTGACCTAGCTTGACCTGAAAATGGATATCAAAATGCTGCAATTGAATCAAAGGTCAGGTTATGCAGGGGATCCTGTAAGAATTGTGATTTGTAGGCGTATCTCTACCGACCTGCATTCAGAGTCCTGTGCAGATTATTGCTGATTACCTCAGAACGGTGTGAGGCTGCTTAGACTAGTACGGTGCTTGAAAGACCGGCTTAACCCCCTTCCCCCAACACTATCGGTTGACCTCACATGGAAAAAGGATTCTCAGATCGCTTTGAAGCTCTTTTGGGGCGGGTATTGTGTCTAGGTGTCCTGCAAGCTGGACCTTCCTCACGAAATTATAGCCGAATTCTAGCTTGCTGAGCTAATCCTATAGCAATCTTAAACGCATTCATTTTAATAACAAAATGGTAGAATAATGACACTCCCGTACCTACATACAGGGTGTTGCAGGTAAATTGGGAATTTTCAGACCTAATTTCAACATGCTATGAATACGGTGAATGAAAACACAGAAAGTTGAAAGTTCGCACGTGTATTGTGTCATGTACGCACAGCCTTGTCACTCGATTTGACCGCCGTCGGCGTCCCGCACCCTCTCGAGACGGCGCCGGAAAGCGGAGCACGAGCGCCGGGCCTCGTCCTGGTCAATGGTGCTGACTGCCTTCCTGATGGCCTTCTTCAGGTCAGAAACGTTGGCAGGAGTGGTCGAGTTGGACTTTTGTTCTACCACGCCCCACATCCAAAAGTCGCATGGATTCAAGTCAGGCGAGTTGGAGGGCCATATGTCCTTGGGTACATATAGGGGGATCCTCTGGCTCAGGATATCTTGCACCCTCTGGGAAGCATGTGCTGGGGCGGAGTCTGCACCAGCATGACTTTGCTCAAGTCATAGTATTTCATCATCCAGGGGATGAGAGACTCCTTCAGGATGGTCAAATACGCGTCAGTGTCGATCATCACACCAGCAGGCATGAAATGGGGCGGCATTATGCGGCCATCACTTGCGACGGCCCCGAACACCATTACTGATGCCGGATTTTTTCCTTTCATCACGGGAGCCACTTCATCAGGGCTGTAGGCGATAGCCCGCGAGTTCCTGCGGTTGGCGACCTCTTCTACGATGAACTTTTTCTCATCGACAAATACTCTGACGTCACTCCCGAGGTGCTTGAGGAGATTGAGGACCTTCGGTGCCCTCTCCCTTAGTATCGCTCTTGCTGGTTCGGTCAGGAGGCTTCGTCGTTTTCTGGTAAACGACTTCATCCCGAGGTCCTCTCTCACGACTCTGCTGATGGTGCTCTTGCTCACGTGACGGGCACGCGCAAGCTTGTTCATCGAGGTCCTCGTCTTGGCCTGTATCGAGCGTTTCAAGCCGCTCAGGAATGTTGGTGTCCGTTTTCGGTCACTGCGAGGTGTGTGAGAACGTCGAGCGACATCCCCTCCAGCTCCTACAGTCGCGATAGTTCGGTACACGGTAGACTTTGGGTACCCAGTTAAACTTATTATGTCCTTCGCGCTCTGTCCGGCGCGAACTAACTCACCAATTGTTTCCCTCCGACGCTGCTCCATGACGGCGCGCTGTGTTAGGATTAAAATTTCAATATCAAATGAAAAACAATTGTTGAAATTATATTGTGTCAAATTTCCATGATGTTCCTCCGCATACCAATTTTTTTTTTTGTAAGGTCATGAACTTAGTCCCAATTTATCTGCAGCACCCTGTATAGGTCGGCGAGAGTTGAGCGCTTCGTGTGTCACATTTTAAGGGATCTCTACATTTCTAGATCTTTAATTCCTTAGCTTTGCGACTGTCAACACTGCGCTTTCTAAATTATTCAGCACATTATGTGAATGATTTAGTCATTCTTACGCGAAAACAAGCTTATAGGTATTCGGAATATTGGGGGGTACTGTACCCCCCAGGTAAATTATTGAGGGGGTCCGGACCCCCGCGTACCCCCCTGTGGCGGAGCCCCTGAATTTACCTACCTTTAAAAATGATTACATGAATTGTGCTTTGTCTTATTGCTGATACATACCCACTGATTCTAACGTTTTCAGCTTGTCCCCACATATCATACGTTACGCTGTTTATCTGTACGCTGATTCTGAATGTATCGATTGATCCATTTTTATGACGGATGAAGCGCGAGCATTACTTGAGCGCCTGTAGGGGTTGCCCATGTCAGATAGGCCGGTTCACAATGGTTTCCTGTTAAGCCGAGAGAAAGGTTTTATTAAATAGGTTAGATATGTCGCTTCCATAACGGTTTTCGAAATATCACATCCGATCTTGGTGTTGCCAGAACAATGGCTACTCTGTGACAATAGTCAATCTGCATATGGAAGCGGCATCTGTGCCAGGAAACGACAAAATAGTCGACCCAGATAGCTTCATTTCCTATACAATAGAGCTCCAGGATTGGGTAGATGCTTGCCCGTCAGCCTTCTATATTAAGACTGGATGCGGAACTATTAACGAGTAAATTAGCAGCCTGTTGTTCTAGAATAGTGAAGCACTGTTCAATGGGCTACCTGTCCGCATTTTCCGTTCAGAGATAATTGGAACTATGTCGCGCTTGTTAATCAGACTAGATAACGAGTTCAGCTACCATGTCCACTTTCGCTGAGGCCTGAGAGTAACAAACGTTACAGAAGTTTAAAAATGCATCTACCTAACAGTTAAGGTAAATCGTAAAAAAGCAGCCGTCTTTCTGAATGATATACAAGATTACGCAGAATTCTCTCTCTCTCTCTCTCTCTCTCTCTCTCTCTCTCTCTCTCTCTCTCTCTCTCTCTCTCTCTCTCTCTCTCTCTCTCTCTCTCTCTCTCTCTCTCTCTCTCTCTCTCTCTCTCTCTCTCTCTCTCTCTCTCTCTCTCTCTCTCTCTCTCTCTCTCTCTCTCTCTCTCTCTCTCTCTCTCTCTCTCTCTCTCTCTCTCTCTCTCTCTCTCTCTCTCTCTCTCTCTCTCTCTCTCTCTCTCTCTCTCTCTCTCTCTCTCTCTCGTCTCCCCTCGGCCCCGTTTCGCTCGTTGATCCCGTCGTGGTCCGTCACACTCACCTTTCGTGTTCGTCGACAGCGAGCACCGCTCACTGAGGGCAGGCCGTAGGGGCAGGCCACGGCAGTCGAGAAAAACACGAGACCTGTCACCCATCCACCCTGCCCCGCCTCCCTCTCTGGCACCCTCCTCGCATAAATGTCGACGGTGAAGCTGTGAAGACCCGCCTCGGCTCCGAAAGAAGTCCAGCTCTATATGTGACAGTTGTAGGCCACAGCACACTCGATGGTCAGAGTCGGAGACGTCAGCTTAGTGCTACAGAAGATCACACGAGAACTAAATAATAAGCGCTATTTGTATAGCATGAGCATGAGCGAGAAATAAGCGTCATTTTTGTCTTTATGCATATGAGGCAGGAGGCAAGCCACCTGTCCGAATGGACAAATTTAAATGATCTTTATCAAGTAAGCATGTAACTAAAACATCACATTGCACCAGCCATCACATGTTTCTCGGTAAGTTTACTGTATAAATACCCAAAAACCAGCATACCCGAAACAATAGCCATAAATCATGTAGCAGCCGGCGTATTAGCATAGCTGTCGACTGCGGCGTGCCGCGCCAGCCGCAGGTCCGCTGATCTGCGCGATTCGTCACGCAGGTCCTGACCCGACCGTAATACAACTGTCAGAGCGCGAGGCGTTCCGACCCGCCGGACACACACTGACACGACGTCTGTCGGCGGAACAGGTCCAGCTGCACGCATTGTTCGGCTCTCGCCAGTGGACAATGCGG